TGGACCAGGTTATAAACAATGCTGGCTTAGTGATCATGGGATCACAAGTTCTTCCATAGTGAACTAGCTCCCACTAAAGCATCCAGGGATTAGGAATTCTAAGAAGCATATTCTGATTTTGAATAACAAGGAAGCTTGAGCTTTGAAAATAATATTGGGCAATGCACTCCTAAAATGTATAAACACTTGGTACTAACATTGTGCCTGATTCCTGGTTAGCCTTCAAGAAAAATATATTGAGTTAATGGTTGAATGAATGAATATGCCTCCATGGACTTTCACTGACATTCTATCATCTATCTAAGAGTAATAAAGCAAAATGATAGCTTACTCCACTGAAATTGATTTTATAGTTTATCAAAAACCTAATGTGAATGTTTTTATTTTGATTTTAAAGTTAGCTTTAAAGCTAAGGTTGCCTTAGGTCATACCTGCCTTCTAATATAGAGAAGAATATCCAATGATCTCTTTCTCTGCTGAAAATATTAGGGATTTCACTTATTACTTAATCCATGTCTGTGGAAATCCAAGCAAATCCAGTCTCTGGGATTCAGTTATAGCACATGTGCAAAATTTAAAGCAAAAGAATGTAGCATTTCTAGTATGGGCATGAGAACGAACTAAGAATAATTATAAAGCAAAAGTAAGTGAAGGAAAACAAACAAGCAAAAAATCAAGCTGATATACAAGAAAATGCGAACTGACTATCACCACCTTAGAGAAAACCTTGACTGACAACTGCCTCTTGGGGACTCCCCTTGTTTTAAACTTCTCTACCTAGAAAAAGTTGGATGGAGAGTGGCTTGAAATCCATGACACTTAGATACTTTTCACAATGGCAAAAGCAAAGTAACATTGATCAACATAATCTGAAAACAAGTGACCTTTTCTTCATCTTCACATCACCCTGAATTACTACTTTCTGTTCTCTTACTTCCCGTCCTTCGGGCCCTTTGCTCACTGTCTCTTTCAAACGTTCTCATTGTCCCTATTGCTGATGCTTTTCCTTTGTTACTTGAGTCATTTTCTCCTCTCTCCATTTGCCTTGAAAATAAAAAATAGATGCACAAAACCTTTATGAAGTGTGCTTTGTGTTCTTGGTGAAAAATATTTATTTTACTTACTTGTGGCTACATATGATCTAGGTTACTTCTTTTATTTGATGTTTATTTTTGAGAGAGAGCAAGCAGGGGACAGGCAGAGAGAGACGGAGACAGAGAATTCGAAGCAGGCTCCTCGCTGTCAGTCCAAAGCCCAACACTGGGTTTTTAGGAGTTTTTATGAGTTTTTAACTGAAGACTGCACTAGAGATTTAAACCTCACCTTAATCCTTAATGAATGCTAGTATCTCTAGACTCTAGCCTGAATACTAGGGTCTTGATACAAGAGCATTGTCATTGCCTGAGAGCTTATCAGGAAATCGGAACTTTGGTTGTACACTGAACTACTAATCTGCATTTTAACAAGATTCCCAGGTAATTACTAGGCACATTACAACGTGAGAAGCATTGCTGTAGAGTGTATGTGTCCCTCATGCTGTCTTTCCTGCTCCAGGCTCCTGCTTTGCTCCCACAGCCATACTGCTTATAGCTTGGATTGCCCGCAGGACTGAGGAGCATATTGTTACAAATGGCATGCTTTCCAAGTTAATTCAGATACTTCTGTCGATAAAGTTTGAAGAGAACCTGTGGTTGTGAAGCTATCTTTTCCTAAAGGAAATGTGGACCAGCAAATGTTGAAGAAACCAATAGAAAGGGAGCACAGGCAGATGCAGAAATAGAGCTCGTCTGAGTGTGGTTTGGGACAAGTGTGGAGACAAATCCCCAAGTGCAGAGAGGGCTTGCCTTTTTAATGAGCTACCAAGTGATGGATGCCTCTCCAGAGGATCCTTTGCTTCCAAGAGGGAAAAAGTATAATTGAACTTATAGATTGTTCTTTCTACTTTACAGAAACGTGTGTGTGTGTGAGCTCTGAAGGATAGAAGCTCTGTTAAAAGTTCCTACTGAGCTGGGCTAGACTCTGAGTGAGTGGGGTTATAGATTTTTGACTTGCACCTTCTTATTAATATTCACTAGATTTGGATATTCTCAAATCAATGTGGTTTGTTTTTAAGTTACAGAAGCTTTTACCTGTCCTTTCACATTGTTTAAGATTTTTTTGGTTTTCTCTTCCTCTCCAGGCTTTTCCTTTTCTTTGTACTAAATGGTCATAATGGGTTATCTGAAGAACTTTTATATGCATTAGACATTATGCATGGTGACTACTGAATAAAATGCAAACCTCGTGTAAAATAGAAGTTTGGAACTTACCTGGCAGGTGAGTGCGTGCCAGGGGCTGGAGAAGGGGGCTGACTACAAAAGGGCAAGAGAATCTGGGAGGTGATGGAACTGCTCCATATCTGGCTGATGGTGGTGGTTATCCAAACGTACCATTTGGCAAAACTCATAGAACTGTACACTTAAAAGGGGTGAATATCAAAGTGTGTAAATTATGACTCCAAGAAAGTGGTGGGTGGGGTGTTCCAATCTGAAAACAAATGAAAATAATTACACGGACTTCATTGGAGTGGGGCTAGGGGTGGGACTTGGGGTGCATGTTCTTACCTTCAGAGGCAGCCTGCTGCACTGGTTACAGACACAGCCTTTACAGCCAGAGGGCCTGAGCTCACTCTGTAAGTTACACAATTGTCTGTTGCCTCAGTTTCTTAATCTGTCACTTGAGATAACAGTAACACTACCTCAGTGGGGTTACTGTTAGGACTTAAGAAGCCAGAGGGATGGGCTCTGAAAATTTAAGGCTTTGCAATGGGAGAGAGTCTGGTGTTTTCTTTTCCCTCACCTCATGCTTGGTGAGGTCATCCTTGTCTCTACTGAAAAATAGTCTTCATCACAAAAGCCCCACAAGTAACACTGCCCAGCCTGCCGTATCAGGCAGCCACTGCTGAGTAAACGCTCTGGAATAAACCTCAGAGAGAGAATAAATCACCTTTCACGCCATCCTCCCCCCAGGTGAGGACTGAGGTCATTGCAAGAGGCATAACAAATAGTCGACATAATGTACCAAACTAATAGATTCTATAAGGAAAACTAAATGGAAAATTTTTCTTGAGTGCTGGGCACCTCTGGCTGAAGAGACAGTGGAGCCAGTGTTATTATAGATGTAGTTGAATCAATAATACTTTTTCATTCATTTCTTTTTCATTTCACAAAAATGCCTATTTTAACCAGCAAAGAAGTAAGGAGATATTATCAAGGGCAATTTTTCATGCTCACATGGATTATATTCTGGGACACATCGTTCTTCTAAATAGTCCCATTTTTTTTTTTTCTCTCTCAGAAATGTATTCAGTTCTCTTCCAGCAGTGTAAATTTATCTGGAAAGCTTTGACAATCAATTAAGTAATGAGAAAATAGAATGCTTGTAATTATGATAATCAAGCTATATGAAACCCACCCTCTTAGGTCTAATACCCACACATCTTTAAGCAATATATTAATTAAGCTGTGGATAATTGTTACAATTAGAATCAAGTTTTTATAATTTTTAAAAATCACCCAGAGATAAAAAGGAAATATTTAAAAAATATATGCAGCTGTCGGTTTTTAACGCAATTCATCCTCAGTGACTACATTGTCATTTCCCCGGCTGCATAGAAACAATTCCAGTATGCTTTATCGATGTGACTTTTCATTTACAATTGGAGGAAATGTGCATGTAACACCTTGGTCAGATGTCTCCCTGTTTCTTTAAGTCAGAGGTTGGCAAACTCTTCCTGTTAAAGGACCAAGTATTTTAAGCATGCCGGCTAAGAGGCAAAATCGAAGATATCTGTGAACTTGCTTAAGAAACAGATCGCCACAGTTTCTGTACTAATGAAATTAAAATATAATAAAATAATCATTAAGTACATTTTTGGCAACACACATCTACTAATGAAAAGAGTAGAATTCTTACCATTGGGAAACCATGTTGCTTAGTTTGGGGTGCAATGTGAGTATCTCCCCTCATCGAGTCTTTGCCAATATTCATCCTGAAAACACTCTCAGAGCGTTGGCAGCAGTCTGGCTGTGGTTCACACAGGGTAGTCGGCCAGCCCCTGAGCAGCGTTCTCAACGTTAATGGGCCTGAGAATGGCCTAACCGGCTTGTTAATATAGATTGCCGAGTCACACCCCCAGGTTTCTGGTAAGTTCCAAGAATTTGCATTTCTAACAAAGTCCACTTGGTACTGATGCTCCTGGTTAAGACCAGGCTTTTACAATATTGCTCTTGATGTTGCTCCTTTAAAAAAAGTCACGCCGAATACAAATCTATATGTTTTACGTTTTCATTGTTTATGCTGCCTGTATTTTAGCTCACCTGATGGACTTAACTTTTTGAACTCTTGAGGTGCAGCGGCAGTAAATCCAGTTAAATTTCCATTAAAAAGTAAAGACCTATTTAAGTGAATTCAGGATTGATAATAAGAGGAACTTTTGTCTCTTAAATAGCTATTAGTCTCTTGTTTCCAAAGTCAGGCATCAGCAATCAGCATCTACTTGTCTGCCCTTAAGAATGCCTGAATAGCATTTTTCCAGTACGAGCAAACTTTTAAAATAGTATGCAATATTCCAAAAGATATATGTGGGTGACACATAAGGATGACAGTTTTATCTTGATTTAATAGGTCCTAATTCACCAAGCATGTTATCAATATACTGCTCTCTGAATTATAATTTGTTGACATGTTCAACCTGTCAGAATTTAAAAGAGACTTTCCTGAGGCCTCCAAGGGTCAAGGGAGATCCCAGTTTCCTAAATCCTCGGGCAGCCCATAATCTCCGGACCAAACCATCTCTAAGTTGACTGCGTTAGGCTCTTGGGATGAGCTCTGAATGATTTGAACTATTACCTATATTGAGGTCGCGGAGAAGGTTAATGATAAACAACAGGGCACCAGCTAATTTTAATGATCGCATCTCGCCAAAGAGATTTTTTCCAGAAAAGAAGCACAGTGGAAAATATGTTCTCCTTCTGTTTATTTGTCCCAATGGTTTAAAAAAATCAGCTTTACGGAACCATAATCTTCCTCATGACAGATGGGCTTATACATTGGCATCGTGCTTTCAATCCACAGTTTACATTTCAAGAGGAAGGTGAAGAAACTGAATGTAAAGACATCTATTTTTCAGTGTTATAACATTGATACAAAAAATAGTATTCTGATTAGCAGCTTGATTGGCAACCCATGTAACCCTAAATAGTACTACAAACCTGGAGAGTGCACTTTTACAGACAAGTACGTTTGGCGAAATAGTATGTACAATTTTGACAAATAAATACATAAATAAACAATCATTCATATATAACGATATACCTAAATGTCAATTATTATCAACAAGCGTTTCTAGTAAATTACTTCTTTCATTCACAAGTTACTTTGTTGCTTATAAAAACTATCCTCACCTTTACAGAAGAAATGACAGAATCAATTCCCCCACTAAACCCACATATTAGGAAAGGTAGAAAATGAATCCCAGAAGCTTTATGTAAATGTTCCATTGTCTTTTGATAGAAGAGGTTTGACTGAAAAACTCCTTCCTCAGCTTCTCTGTAAAGAGTTTGTTTCCCCCATATCATCGCACAAAGGGGTTTTGTTCTTCTGATTTTAATCCAAATCGAAAACGATGTTCATTTTTTTGATTCCCGTTATTTAAAAATACAATATTATATATTGAAACTGGCATTTGGTTCAGTAGAAGAAGACCCAAAGCCACGCAAACTAACCAGCAAAGATAAAACTTTTTTTTCCAAAAACAAACTTAAAAAGGAAAATTTAAGAATACAGACATTAATTATTGATACCTTTTGTTATCCAATGCATAATGAACACAACAGGTAGGGGGACAGTCAGAAGGTTTTTATAAAAATTCTCTGAACGACTCCTGGTACAACATTGAAACGTTATTTTATCTAAGAGAAATGATAATACATTAAAAAATGGCTTAAATAATTGAAACCATAATTTGGCCGGCACCATAAAATTAAGAAAAGTAGAAAATTAGAGCTTTTTCATGATCACTTGACTTAAACTTTTTTTGTTTTTTGAACATTCAAAAAATGAAGGGCAATCATGCTTTCAGCTATTGAAACACTGGACAAATGGCTTTGCCTCACCGAGCTCCATGCAGAAGAAAATGTACATAACAAGCAGATTCTAGCTATACATACAGGGGAGAAGGGAAAAATGCCTTTAAAATATATACATATGGTCTTTGATGAATATTTACATGTTTGTCACATGGGCACTACCTAGCATAAAAAAGTTAGGAAATAGTTCTTTAAGACATGATTCTCTGATTTTTGCTCCTTTTAAAGATTAGGGCTCTATTTATAGTGGATACACACACACACACACACACACACACACACAGACACACACACAGAGAAAACAATTCATAGATGTACATATACGATGTTCGTAATGTGCAATTCCTTGACGCGAAGGTGGCTTGACTGAGCATAAGGTAAATGCAAAATGGTAGTATAAGACAGAGGCTTGATTCAGCTATGTGACTGAAACGCAAACCAAGCACAAAGTCATGAGACTTTTCCAATGACTGGAACTCACAGCAGTTGAGGGGTGGGGGTTAGAGAGGGCTCACCTTGTGCTGATCCATCTCTCCCCAGGCTACCTAATGCTGTTTTCCAATCAAACTTGGCAGTCCAGCTGTTTGATGAAGATGTATTGAAGGACAGGAAGGCCTGTCTCATATTGCATTCTTTGGGGCTGGGGATAAAAGATCCAGTGTTTTCAAGAAATAGGCCATGACTTCCATTTGTTCATTGTGTTTACTTGTTTGCTATCAACTTCTAGGGGGGGCTTCCAAAGGTCAGGTTAAAAGAAAAGTTATATTCTTTCAGTTGCAGGGCTTTCTTTGAATGAAAACAAACAAAAAGAAGTTTTCTAATGAATAGATGATGTGCAATGTGGGGGTTTGCTGAGTGCCTGTTCTTCTGATAGAGGGGGGCTAGCTTTACCGGTCACTCTTCAAAGTTCTTATTGAGAATTCAGATCACTGTTTCCTGAGATCCAAGTTGATGGGATGTAATACATTTTGCAAAGCATGTGATTCATTTATTGTAATACACTTCCAGCCAGAGGCTCCTCCCTGAAGAAACACAGCTGCCTTCACTTGCAGCACCCTGGGAAATCAAGGCAATGCACTGAAGTAAAAACTTGTTCATTGAAACCAGAAGAAATGGTAGAGAAATTGAAGCTTCTCCAAACACCTAAGATATCCAGGGAAAAGTCAAAAAATCTTAGAAGAACCAGATGCACGAACAGTTCATATTCAATCTTTCTTTTGGCAGATTTTACATTTAAGCTGATGTTACTACTACTGATTACAATGACCATCACTGTAATGAATTATTTTAGCATTGGGCATAACACATGACACATTGCATTAGCACCTTGTAAACTAAGGATCTCAAGATTCTTAGGAAATGCAATTTGCTCTCACAGCACCTGTGAGGTAGGTGTTTTTTCCATCCATTTTATACATGAGCATACTGAAGCACAGCAAGGTTAAGACGCCTGCTCACATGACCCAGCAAAGATGATGGTATCAACAGGAACTGATTCCAAGCTTCTCCATCCTTCCTTCCCGTGAACCTCAATCACAGAGCTTGGAGCTCCCAGAATGCCTCCCAACAGCATTGCTGCTGGAGGTGCTTGGATGTTTCAGATGTTAGAGTATTACATCTATCACCTACAGAGCTAAATCATCCAATAACATTGGTACCCATTGAAAGATTCTCTCACATGCTTTGCAAATGTGTGGGCGTGGCATCTCATACTATTGCTAAGTTTGCTTATGTTAATTTTAATGCAGACATAAATTTGTATTTTCTCCATGTAATTTATCGTTTTTCTGCCCTCCTTCCAACTTATTACTACACATGTGACTGCCTCTGTCAGAAATTGTAAAATGCACTTAGCAACACTGTATGGAGGCAGGCAGGTGAGATTACATTTGGCAAAATCTCCTTGGAGGCACCAGGTAATGTTTGTTTTGAAAGGGCAAAAAAAAAAAAAAAAAAAGCTCTTGTTTATTTTGTTAAGTAGCATTTTATATACATTCCACCCAATGACCAGGTTTAATCCTTGGATGAGCAGGCAGAGTTGTCTTCCAAACATACAGGATATTTGATTTTCAAGTTTAGATTTCCATTTATTTAACTGCAGCCTTCCTGCCAGGCCTAAGTTCATTTCTTGCTGGAATGGCAAACTCTGTACATGTCCCATGGCAATATATGTAAAAATTCAATATAACAGCACACACAATGTTAATAATCACATCGAGCGTGTCTTCCTGACTGCGTATTATTTCTGAATTATTTCTGAAAAAGCACTATTTACTTATTCATTTTTGCAGAGCTGATATGAAGACATTACCGTGAGTTTCAGTTTCCCCAAACCAGATTTTTATCTCAGATGCACAGTATGTAAATCCTAGCAGTTTTCAGGAAGTTGCTTTTTCAGATAAATGCAATGCCTTAGGACCTGAGAATGAAATCTGGCCCTTCAAACTCGTGTATTGTTTCTATGACCAGAGCCTGACATTTGTAAATTGGTAATCCAAGAAAGAAAGTAGGAGTGGGAAGAAAACCCTTTTTACAAAACCCCTTTGCCAGTTCATTTCCCTTGGTGACACCTGTTAAATACCAACACCTTAGGCCCCATTTCTTAAAAAAGAAAAGAAATGTATTTACATTGGTAAAAATCCTAACATCTGAGATGTTTCTTGCTTGACATGTCATTCCAGATTCTGTGCATTTCTTCCGGAGAGATCTGATGCACGGTGATAACTCGGCGATACCTACATAAACTATAGGCCATTTTCCAGTGATTGAAGCCACTGTTCTGGAAAGGATGTATGCCCAGTTTTCGAAGACACAGTCCCACATATACATCTTCAAGGTGAAGCAGCCTTGTGTGGAGTGAAGTCTTATAAATGAGTTCAGCCACATCAGCTGAAAAGATATAGCCAGTCCCCGAACAGAACGGTGGGTAGTTACTGTCAGGGTACAAATCCCTGGGCATATACCACTTACTGCGGACATCCCGGATTGGTCCTCCATTGATGACATAGCCAGTAAAATACCTTCTCCTTGGCTTGGTGGAGGGTTTTAGTAGTTTATAAATAAGGTTGTCCATGTTTACAAAAATGTCACTGTCTGTTTTCATGACATACTTGGCTTTTGAACAAAAAGTGGCCACCCATCTCATTCCCATTAATGTCTTAAGGGTAAGGTTATGGTAGGAGTCAATGAAGTCCTCCACAATAATGTCGTGGAAGATTTGGCTCTCTTGCTCCACCATCTGATTCAGAACAGGATCAGCATTCTTGCCCAGGAGGAAGAGAGTGGCTATCTTGATCCCTTTGAAGTTGTTCTCATCCCCCCACGTCTCTCGGATTGCCTGGCGGGCATCGAATTCTTTGTGGGTGGTGCTGATGAGGATAACAAGGAAAGGAATGTTCTTTTCACATTTGGTGGGTTCATTTATAAGAAATTCAAAAGAATGTGGGTTTATAGGTCGAGTTCTTATGTTGCCAAAGGTGAAGTTTTTCCTGGCGACTGTTAGGTGGCTGAATGGCTTGGAGCCAGTGTAGGAAGAAGTGGGACGAGTTATACTCAGATACCAGAGGGCACTGGCCCAGCACACGACTGTCAAAACATATAGACAGGACACCTTTGAAGCCATTGTCTTGAGAGCACGTCTATTCCAAATATTGAAGAATATGCCTTCTTGGCATTAGTTTCTTTTCATCTTGCAAAGGCAGCATATTACTAATAAATCTTAAAGTTCGATAGAGAAGCGTGAGTGCGGGATTGTCCATGGGTCTTCGTGGGAGTCTGGCATCTGTGCATTCCCTCTACTTTCTTCCAAACTTGTTGGAAGGTTCCATCCCTCCCAAGTCTTCCTCTTAACTCTGCAAAATCAATAAAACACAGTTTTCATTAAGATTTATTCAGTTACTTTACATCCCCACATAAACAGAATAAGGGTGTTAGAATTACCCATGGTGACTAAAATAAAAAACATAATCATTCATTTCCACCACTACTGAAAACTCCCTAACACAACCAGCCTCCTTTTTCTCCCCTTGATAGAAATTATTTATGTATATTTATACCCAATTAATAAATATTAGATTATAAACTCTAGAAGAATATGAAGTAAACTGAACATTAGTAATTAAAACGAGTTTTCCCTCATCACAAGAGGACTTCTTTGCTGTTAAATACCTTCGGACACTAAAGGCTTCTTTCAAGCAGGAGAGTCTCACATAGGGCCTTGTATCTCTTTTCCACGTTTCCAAGTCTGAGCTTTCGTTCACTTAATTCTGATGAAATAATCAGTTCTCAACATCTCTTTGCTTTCTCTAGCCCTGTGTTTGAAAATGTGCCCATCGCCACTGGAAAATCTCTGCTAAAATGGTCTCTCTAGGCTCTGACTCACAAGTAATTCTTTACTTTTCCTCACTTTTCCCTAACTCTGGCTTTCACAAATGATAGTCCCTTATTATCAGTTTTCTAGGAGGCATCCTATGAAGAAGAGCCTTTTCTTCAGGCATGGACACCATCACCCAAGTGTCCTTTCAGACAGCTGGCAGCATGCATTTTGTAGTTGATCTAAATGGTATCACTTTTTGTGGTTTTCAACAATTCACCCTGATGTTCCCTTGATGAAATTACGTTGGCCCCTTTCAATTCTTTTTCTGTGGTTACACTTGTCAGTAAACATAGCAGGAGTATAATGAGAGACACAATTGAGCTTAGGGCCACAAATCCAATGAAGATGGACACAACACTTTAATTGGTGTTCAAATTAAAAAGTTGTCCTTTGGAATGCTACTCCTTTCTAGAACCTGAGTTGCTATCACACCAGTAAAACAATACATGCCAGGCTACAAAGTCTATTCATGTTAATAAAAACTGTCTCTTCCTTCCCAGTTAGAGCAAAACATGGTATCCCTGGAAGACGGAGATAGCAGATAATGGATATCAATTTCAACAAAGTCTGCTTTGAAGGAAACTATGCACTTAAACATACAGACTGTGTTGAAAGGACTCAACTGTGATTATAGATGGAAAATCATGCTTCCATGCACAATATTCATAATGCAATGAAAAGAAGTGATGGGCAATAGCAGAGATAATACACATCATCTTGTCAAAGCCAAGGGCTGACTGTGAATATATGATCCATATGAGACCAGCAATAACTCAGTGTGGTTACCATTCTAACTAAATGAATATGGTGAATATGAGAATGGTGTCAAGCAGCATGACTCCAGGCATAATCACACCTTCATCCAACCCATAATAAGTACTCTCTAAATATAAGCTCCAGTATTCTTGGCTCCTGAAGGAAATGTCCACTCTAAGGTGCACCAGTGCTGATAAAAGGGATGTGATGTGCAGCAAGCTTTGATACTTTAAACAGTAAGCAAAAAGAAGGAAGAGAAACCAGCAGTATAGAGAAGGGTTTCTCAACTTGGAATATACAGACATGGACTCCATTTGAATGCCAAAGGGATATGAGTGAGTCTCAAGATGGTAATCACAACCAAACTTTCTCCCTCATTATTCCAGGGCTTAGTATCTGATTCTTACAAGCCTACCGTGATCATCATACAGCCCTTGTCACTTTCCATACTTTCCTACTAAAGTGTGAGTCACCTATCACTAAGCTGGTATACCAAAAATAGTCACTGGAAGAGGTTCCTCTCAAGTTCTTTTCTCGAGCCACTAATCACATGGGTGCATGTAAAGCATTGGGAAAACAGAAATAGAACCCGTACTCCTCCTCAAGGAACTCATATTCCAGGAGGAAAGACTTCATGTAAATGATTAAAACAGAGGGATAAAGGGGCACCTGGGTGGCTCAGTCTGTTGAGCGTCTGACTCTTGATTTTGGCTCAGGTCATGATCCCACGGTCATGGGATTGAGCCCTGCATCTGGCTCCAGGCTAAGGCTGTTTACGATTCTCTCTCTCTCAAAATAAACTTAAATAAACTTAAATAACAAAACAAAACAAAATAAATGTAGTACACCAGGCATCAGGCTACGTGCTGTGCACTCCATGGCCTGTACTGTATGGAGCTTAATTCCTTATGATGTTACAAGAGAGTTATTGCCTCCATTTTACAGTTGAGAGAATGGAAACTCAGAGATATTAAGTAGCTTACTCAAGATCACACAGCTAGTGAATGAATAATTGAGTAGTCATCTCGAGCTTCGAAAGGCCTGTTAGGACAACAGGCGAAATCTTGCACAGGAAAATGCAGGGTGGCAGGGAGCATCTCATGCTGCTATTTTTCCAGCAATCTGCGCATTTATTTTCTTAGCTGTATGTCCGCAGCTGGAATTTTTGCCTAGTTCATTATGGTTTGTTACACACTGCATGACACCGATTCTGTGAAGATCCTCGATCACCAAAAACTGATGTCTTGCAAAGAGTACATTAAAGCTGGGGGCAGGGAGAGAGAGTGGCTACTGTGGAAGAGGCTCAGACACACTTTGCTTTCCCCTTTCTCCGATGTCCTCAAACACACACATGTGCTCATACTCACACACTGCAAGAATTGCTCTTACTACTGACTTCTTTTCAGACATGAGAACAAAAGTAAGCACAGCATTAGTTACATCTTGGTCACCAGTAAATGCAAATTATCACCAATAAAAACAGGATTGGAAATGGGCAAAAGAACCAGCCTAGGATCTGAAGGGCAGCCAAGGATAACGTGCACCTACAGCGAGGGGTGTTAAAAAACATCCTTTTTGCTTACAAGAAAACACATGTCTCCGGTGGCCAAACGAACACAAAAATATACCTCTGGAACAGATAGCAATATAAGGAAAGGTAAGAGAGAGTAGTAGCATGCTGCATTTAACTCTAAAGCATGATTTTATGTATGTTGATTGAAGTAGTTAGTGATGGGCCAGATGTCCACGTTTTACTCCTTGAGCAATCCTTGCTGTGAGGCTTTCTGGGCCTCGGTAGCCTTAAGCTAAAATAAGGACAAAAATAAAATCTACATTATTTCCAAACAAATTATACGTGCTAATGATCATCACCAATCCTTTGAGTTTCTGAGGGAAATGTTGTTACACAGGGAGATAGTATTATGATATAAAGAACAGGTTCTAGTGGTGAGGAGAGGATTATGTCAGCTTATCAGTTCATGATTTGGGGTCCAGGTCACACACATCAATCGATTCTTCTGAACACAGGATTGCGATCAGTTTTTTGGTTTAGCAAATGCACCGTACAGATTTTCACTAGAGAATTCTGTTTTCTTCCTGGAAAACACGAAGGCAAAAGTCCACTAAAAAGCAAAGAAAACGTCAGCTGAAAAGTTCTAGAGAAAGGAGCTGAATGTCACAAAGAGGAATCCTCTGGGGGGTTCTTTTAGTTTCAGGAGATTTAAAAAAGTCCTGTTTAACAGACGCGTTAATGTATTAAAATACAAAGTTGCATATAGAACATTTGTCATTCCTTTTAGCAGTCCTACCACAACCACAGACACTGATGACATATTAACTTGTCATCCATTAAATACAAATCCCTCCAAATAACCTTCCTCTAGAACTCTTGAAAGATTTCTTCCCCAGGAGCCATCCTGTATCGCAGATTACCTCATTCACAAGACCCTTCAGGAGCTACCCACCTTCACCTTTCAGGAAGTTAATGGAGCAGAATTTTCAATTTAAGGAGCTCCTGATTCCCCTAGAAATCACATTGGATAGTCTGTTATTTTGAGTAGTGTATTTTTTAAAAAGCCCCTAAGTTGCCAAAATTCTTTTCTTGTATGGCCGGAAGTAAGTCCTGCAGCAAGTGGGCAGAATCTCTTGGGTGAATTGTGCATAATTTGGGTGTCAAGTTCGGTCACTCTCCATCATATTCAGGCAGGTAGGAGTCAGCACTGATTCCTTACGCCCTGACTGTCACTGAAGGGGCCTGCAGTCATTCCAGCTTCCCTGCACCCACGGGCAAGGCTGTCCAGGCCCCGTCAACTCTCTGGTGTCTCAAGGAATATAATATCTTCATGTTCTGGTTTCCCTTTGATTTTCAAGTCTACTTCATTTGTCCATGAGAAACGTGCAAAACACCTAATGCCAGGTGCGAAACACCTGATGCCTGCAGAGATGCCAGGCACTGCTCTCCACTCTGGTAAGACAGATGGGGGCTTACTTTCTAGGAAACGGCATACAATAAACGCATGATAAACGAATACAAAAATAGTTACAGGAGCGGCAACTGATGTAAATAAGTCAGGCAATGGGATAGAGACTGAGCAGAGGTGAGAGGGGAGCTACTTTAGATGCATCGGTCACTCTCTGAAGGGTGACATTTGAGCTGAGAATAGAAAGTCTTGTTCTCTTCAGTCTAGTCATTGAGTCTTTTACTAACTTTTTGGCTCTTTGCTTGGCTCTTTGGGATTAGTGTTTCATTAGGAAACACTTTCTTTTTGGTTTTTGAACTCTGCTCTTCTCTTGTCTTTTGGATCTTCTTGGCTTCATGTTTCCCATTTGTGGCCTTTTTGCTCACTCTTCCAAATGCCCTCAGCTTCTAGAGATGGAGGTTATTGGTATTAGCAGGCTACATGTATTAGTTTGCTAAGGTGGCCATAACAAAGTACCAGAACCTGGGTAAATTTATTGTTTCACAATTCTGAAGGCTATAAGTCTGAGAAGATATTGGCAGAGTTGTTCTTTGTGAGAGCTGTGAGGGAGAATCTGTTCCACGCTTTTCTCCTAACTTCTGGTGATTTGCTGGCAATTCTCTGGCACTCCTTGTTTATAGATGAATCACCTAGATCTCTGCCTTCATCTTTACACAGCATTTTCCCTTCTGTGTCCCAATTTACCCCTCAACCCCTTTTTAGGAGACCCGTCATATTAGATTAGGGCCCACACTAATGA